GACAGGAGTCCAAAGGTATTGGCTCTCCTTCCTGAGATGCTGGAAACTAAAGGTCAGCCAATGGGCACCCAACCCAGAGCCCAATAAAAGTTCTGGACACCAAGATTTAGGTGAGTTTCTCTATTTGGCAATAATCCTACATGCATATGATTATACACAGTTGATGGGAAAAGTTACCACTGTCTGTGACTCCATTGGGTGAGTACAACTGGAAGCTCTATGGCTCTGCCATGTGTTTCTTCCTTGGCTGATTTTAATCTGGAACCTTTTACTCTAATAAACTATAACTGTGAGGATGATAGTTTTCAGTGAATTCTAGGAGTCCTTTTAGTGAACTATCTAAGGGTAGTCTTGGGAACCCCTGAATTTCCTTCTGGGGTCAAAAATAAGGGAAGACTTGTGGATTGTTCCCTCTTTCACATGAGGCCATAATGGAATCAAACTGTATGTCAATAAAAGAAAGGCAATAGGAAAATCTCCAGACATCTCCGAATAACTCACTTCGAAATAATTAATGAGTGAAAGAGAAAGTCTCAAAGAAAAAAAAAATTGTAAGGATTGAGGATACACACACACACACACACATACACACACACACACATCCTTTATATACATGGATATATATAATGAATTATAAGCATAATAAGAAACTACATATAAATTTACATTCATAATCCTGAAAACTTAGAATGGACCAACTCCTTGAAAATCTGAATCTATCAAAACTCAGCCAAAATGAAACAGGTCATCTGAATAGTCTGATAACCATGATAGAAATTAAATTTATAATTTTAAAGATCCCAAAAAAGAAACCTCCAAGTCCACATGGTTTCACTGAAGAATTTTACCAAACATTCCCAGAATGTTGTACACAATTTCTTCCAGAGAACAGAAGAGAAGTGAACACTTCCCAACTTATTTTATGAGGCCATTATTACCTGATACCAAAACCAGGCAAAGGCAGCACACACAAAATAACTGCAGACCAACATCTCCCATGAACTTAAATGATACATAATGATTAAGCGGGATTTATTCCAGGTATGAAAGGCTGATTCAATTTTCAAAAATCAATGTAATCTATCATATCAACAACAAAGGAAGAAAAAAAATCACATGATCGTAGTAATAACCATTTATGATAAAAAATAAAAAACTCCCATGGCATTAGGGAAAGAAGGGAACTTCCTCAACTTCAAAAAGAACATCTACAAAAAACCTAGAGCTGTTATACTTTATGGTTTATGGTAAAAGACCAAATTCTGAATGCTTTCCCTCCAAAACTGGGAAAAAGGATGTCCATTCTTACCAGTCTTATGCAATATAGCCCTGGAAGTTCTAACTATTCCAATAAGGCAAGAAAATATAGGGCACAGATTGGAAAAAAAGGAATAAGTTATCTATTAGCAAATGATATGACTGTCTACAGTAATGAATCAGGAAATAAATGAGTAAGGTTGAAGAATACAAGATCAACATACAAAATCAATTTAATTTCTTTTTTTTTTTTTAATGTTTTATTTATTTCTAGGAGAGAGAGAGAGAGACAGCGCGAGCAGGGGGAGGGTCAGAGAGACAGGGAGTGACAGACTCTGAAACAGGCTCCAGGCTCTGAGCTGGCAGTCAGCACAGAGCCCGACGTGGGGCTCAAACCCATGAACCGCGAGATCATGACCTAAGCGAAAGTCAGACGCTCAACTGACTAAGCCACCCAAGCGCCCCTCAATTTAATTTCTATACATTGACAATAAGCAACAGCCAAAATAAAAGGGCAATACCATTTATAAATGCTCCCAAAAAATGAAATACTTAGGTAAAAACTTAATAAAACATGTATAGAATCTATATGATAAAAATGCTAATAAAAGAAATCAAAGGAAAATACTTGAAGAAACAGGATGTGTTCAGGGATTGGAAGACTCAACAGAGCGTAGATGTTAATTCTGTAACATCATCTACAGGTTTCACATAATTCCTATGAAAATGTCAGCAAGTTTTTTTGTAGACAAAGACAAGCTTATTCCAAAATTTATATACACTGAAAAGAGCCCTAAGGATAGTCAAAACAATTTTGAAAAATAATAAATTAGGAAGAATCAGTCTTTCCATTACGAAGGCTTACTTACTCAAAGGCTTACAGTAATCAAAGTATGGTACTGGCAGTGGGTCACAAAGATCAATGGTACAGAACAGAGAACTCAAAAATGGAGCCACACAAATGTGTCCAACTGAATTCTGACAAGGGTGAAAAATCAATTCAGTGGAGAAGGGGATAACTTTTTAAATAAATGGTGATGGAGCAACTGGACATCCATAAGAGAAAAAAATTAACCTTTACTTAAAGTCTTGCATATGCAAAAATGAACTCAAGATGGTTCACACACTTAAATGAAAAATGTAAAATTATAAAACTTCTAGAAGAACATAGGAGAAATCTTTAAGACGTAGGACTAGGTAGAATGTTTAGATTTCACATCAAATAAAAAAATGAAAACAAAAACCCCTCATAGTTCATATATCCAACAAAGGCCTACCTAGAATACATAGAGAACTTTGAAAATTCAAGAGTATAACACCAAATAATCAAATTAGAAAATGGGCAAAAGACATGAACATACATTTCTCTAAAGAAGATACACAGTTAGCAAATAAACACAAGAAGATATGCAACATTTTCTATTAAGGAAATTCAAATTAAAACCACATTGAGATATCACTACCCATCTATGAGAATGGCTAACATGACAAACAGATATAACACCAAATGCTGGCTAGGATTCAGTGAAACCAAATCACTCTTACAATCCTGGTGGGAATATAAAAATCTTTATTCCAGACTTATTTTCATGAAAAAACTTTTACATGAACATAAGGAACATATATACGTTCATGTTAATGTTTGTATATATAATTATAATTTATATAATATATGTATTCAGGTAATATATATATATATGATATAGAAGGAAAAAAGCCAATTTCAGAAGGACACATACTGCAGGATTCCATTTATATAACATTCATGAAATAAAAATAATTATATAGATGTAGAACAGATTAGTGGTTACCAAGGGTTAGGAACAAGGGACCAAGGATGGGTGTAGCAGTAACAAACAGAAGGGAGCCTTATGGTGATGGTACTGCCTAGTATTCTGACTACTGCAGTACTCAAAACTGCACAGAGGTGTGTACACACACATACAGACACACACACACACACACACACACACGAATGTGTATATAATTAGAGAAGTCTGAAAAAGTTCTATGGATTGTACCAATATCAATTTTTCAGGATGATACTGTATTGTTGTGGAGGATGGTAACACTAGGGGAGACTGGAGAAAGGGTATATGGGACTTCCCTACACATTTCTTTGCAAGTTCCTGTGAATCTATAATTATTTCAAAATTGAAAGTTTTAATTTTTCTTAATGTTCATTTATTTTTGAGAGACAGAGCATGAGTAGGGGAGGAGCAGAGAGAGAGAGACACACAGAATCTGAAACAGGTTCCAGATTCCCAGCTGTCAGCACAGAGCCCGACATGGGGCTCGAACTCATGAACTAGGAGATCATGATGTGAGCCAAAGCAGGACGCTTAATGAACCGGGCCACCCAGGCACCCCTCAAAATTAAAAGTTTTAAAAAAGAAATCAGGACACCTTTGCAAAAAAAAAGAAAAGGGGGGTGCATGGCCAAGTATCAAAAATTGATAGAATGACATCTTTAAATGAAAACAAAACACTTAGGGGAGTATATATCGTTTTTCCATGATTCCCTCCATATTAGTTTCTTAGAGCTGATTTAACAAAGAACAAAGCTGATGTGGCTTAAAACAACAGAAATATACTCTTTCACAGTTCTGGAGCACTAATACTAAAGCGCAGATATCATCAAAGACCTCTAATGTGTAGAACAGACCTGCTCTTGGCCTCCAGTACCCTACACTTTCCTAGATGATCTCCTTCCTTTCCAGTCATCTCTCTGCCATCTCTACTTCTTCAATGCGATTTTCTTTAACTTTTCCAATTTCTAATTACTCTTACATATTCCTCCTATAACATTAGAACATATGTTCTTGATCCACTATTGTTAACATTTAAGAAAAGGTATTCCTGTCACCCAGTAAAGCAATTTGTAGGCATTTTTTAAATTAATAAATACTCAGGGCGCCTGGGTGGCTTAGTCGGTTAAGCGTCCGACTTTCGCTTAGGTCATGATCTCGCGGTTCGTGGGTTCGAGCCCCGCGTCGGGCTCTGTGCAGTCAGCTCAGAGCCTGGAGCCTGTTTCAGTCTGTGACTCCCTCTCTCTCTGACCCTCCCCTGCTCACTCTCTCTCTCTCTCTCTTCTAGAAATAAATAAAACATTAAAAAAAATTAATAAATACTCTGTTGATTGTGTCCTTTGATGAATAGAAGTTATATATAAGTCTGGTATATTCCCATTTGTCTATTTTTGTTTTGGTTATCTATAACTTGCTTGGTGTCATATCCCAGGAATCACTGCCAAATCCAGTGTCAAGAAACTCCCTAAGTTTTCTTCTAGTTTTGGGTCTTACATTTAGTTCTTTGATAAAGTGCTTGCTTCGGCAGCACATATACTAAAATAGTTCTTGGATTCATTTTGAGTTAATTTTTGTATATGGTATAAGGTAAGGGTCCAACTTTATTCTTTTGCATATGGATATCCAGTTTTCCCTACACCATTTGTTAATGATACAGTCATTATATACAGACCACTGAATGGTCTTGGCACCCTTGTCTGAAATCATTTGGTCATATATCTGAGGGTTTGTTTCCAGACTTTCTATTCTATTCCACTGATCTATATATCTGTCTTTATGCCAGTACTACTACACAGTTGGTTTACATAGTGTTGTAATTATTTTTGAAATCAGATTTTCCCTAATGTGTCTAAAATAACCTTACCAGCCCAACATTTTGACCACTTGGCCTAATCCTTGAAACAACTTCCTGTTTCCTGATCATTGCTCACTCACCTGGGCACTGTTTTCCTGTCACTTCCCTCATAACCATCCAGGGCTCCATCCCTTGCTCTAATGAAGAAATCACAGCTGGCTTAGAAATAGAAAGTCCTGGTTATAAGAAAAGAAATGCAGATGAGGTAGAAATCAAAGTACCTAAATACAATGATTCAGAATTGATCAAAATAAATAAATAAACTACAGCACAACATGGTACTTGATAAAGTCTACAGAAGAAAAAAAAATTAAACACTCATATTTAGGTAAACTCAAGATTAAAAAAAAACACACACAAATAAATAGGTGATAAAATGCTGTTTAAATTAGATAAGCTTTCTGTCTCTACTATGAGGGAGAAAAAAAAACAGCTTCCTGAGTATCCTTATGTCAGATATTTTTCAATGATATATGAAAAGTTCTTAGATTGTAACTCCCAAATGCAAATTGTTTAAAAGGGAGCACATTAGTTGTAGGAAATAGAAGTGTTCATTTGAGCACTAAACAGTAAGTGATATTTCTTGATCTAGCCCACTGTTACATTAATTGGGAAAGTTATTTAGTTTTAACCTGTGCGAGGGCACCTGCAGGTTTAGTATAGTGGAAATGAAACAAAAGATGAAGTGGTTTCTTTGACCATTGCACTAATAATTAATATTAAATAATTAAGCATAAGCTTTACTGGTACAGAATTTCAGTTCTGTTTTTTAATCATCAAGGAAGAACGTCAATTCTAAGTACCAGAGGAAGGTATAAGGATGGGGAAAATGAAGGTGTACCTCTATCTAGGTGTGTTCATTTCTATGCAAAGAGAAAATTCATCTAGTTATTTGAAAGGTAGCCCTAAAATCATGGAAAAGAAAGCAGAAATTCCAAGAAACACATTCTAAATTATAAGAGGCAGATAATTTTACCCAGTGAAACCAAGTTGCTATAGTTCTCCAACATCACATCTTTGTACAAACTCCTCTGCGTAGGGTTCAGGCATTCCCATTCCTCCTGAGAGACATCTATAGCCACATCTTTGAACATCACCAACCCCTAAAATGACAAATCACAGTACTATTTTTGAAATTATAATAAATATTTTTCAAAAGGAAGGAGAGGTGCTAAAGAAAACATGCAGGACAGTGGTAGTGTATGCAGTGTACAGCGAGCATAGGCAAAGGTTGGAAGCTTGTGACATGGGTCAAAAAGGGATTCAGGGCGCCTGGGTGGCTCAGTCGGTTAAATGTCTGACTTCAGCTCAGGTCATGATCTCATAATTCATGGGTTCAAGCCCTTTACCGGGCTCTCTGCTGTCAGCACAGAGCCTGCTTTGGATCCTCTGCCCATCCCCTCAACTGTGCTCTCTCTGTGTCAAAAATAAACATTTTTTAAAAAGGGATTTATTAGGACTAAAGCAGAGTGCCTACTCGCTCTTAAAAATTCAATTTCTGCAGACACATCCTCTCGCACAGGGCGGAAAACCATTAGTCATCTAGAAATTTAAAATATAAGTAGAGGTGGGGCGCTTGGGTGGCTTAGTCGGCTAAGCGTCCGACTTTTGCTTAGGTCATGATCTCGTGGTTCATGGGTTCGAGCCCCGCTTCGGGCTCTGTGCTGACTGCCAGCTCATAGCCTGGAGCCTGTTTCAGAGTCTGTCACTCCCTCTCTCTCTGACCCTCCCCTGCTCACGCTGTCTCTCTCTCTCTCTCCTAGAAATAAATAAAACATTTAAAAAAATTAAAATAACTAGAGGTTCCCAACTAAGTTAAATAGCTGGACATTTTTTAATCTTTCCAGATGTGTTATGAAAACCTCCACCTTGAGAAAAAGGACTTGAAGATTTTTCTTCATCATTATGACTATTATGTCATAAGCATTTTTTACTTTTCATGCAAATTCTTTACGAGATATCCAGTATAGCCTGTATTTTCCAAGGACAGAGATAGAACATTTCCCATCCCATATACTCTTCTTCAGTGTAATCTTGACATGCCCCCACACCATTGGTATAGGGTCTATGTTCTCTGCCCTTGAACCTGATCCTGGGAAAACAGGCTAACTTACTCAACTTATAAAGTACAGCAGAAATGACTACGTGATTTCTAAAGCTAGATTATAAAAGTGTCTCTCTATCCACTGAGAACCTACACCAATTCCCATAACGTACGTTTGAAAAGTATTTATTGTGGAAAAGTTCAAAGACTTCCTATATGTGATTCAATTTACCATTTCTCCTGACCACAGCATTTCCTGTGAAGACATCTTAGTTAGGTGGCTGGTTTTTCTCCTACAGTCTTACTCTGTCCTCAATCTCACACCATCATCTCTACTCCTTACTGCTGGTGCCAACTGTCCCTCCTCTAAATTCTAATGTCATCATTTCATCAGACTATACATCAGACTATACACATTATTTCCACTTTGTACAGTGATTTGCTGACATCCAGATTTTTGCCCCTCAGGAATTTTAGCTCCTAGCTCAGTGCCGCTATCTCCAATACTACTGCTATATTAATTCTCAGTAATTTCAAATATCTTTATAAGTATTCCATCTATTTTCCTGGCCTCCCATTTCTCTCACCTCCTCTCCAATGATCTTGCCTTCCACTCCAGTTCACTCCTTATGTCACTACCCTAGACCTTATCATGAATAGTAACTGCCACATCTCTAAAATATCAAGTGTCCTTCTCTCCGGTCACCTTTATTATTTTTTTTTATCTTTTATTTTATTTTAGAGAGAGAGGGAGACAGAGGATCCAAAGTGGGCTCTGTGCTGACAGCAGAGAGCCCAATGTGGGGCTTAAACTCACCAATGACGAGATCATGATCTAAGCCAAAGTCAGATGCTTGATCGATTGAGCCACCCAGATGCCCTATCTTTACTTATTTATTTTTTTAAGCTTACTTAATTTCTTTTGAGGAGAGAGAGAGCATGCATGCATGCAGGGGAAGGGCAGACAGAGAATTTCAAGCAGGCTCTGTGCTTTCAGAGCGCAGTCTCTGGTCACTTTTACATTGTCACCACATTCATACCTCTTCTCTCCTTACCCAACTTAAGTTCTACGCTGAACTAATCATCTAACTTCGTAATGACTGCTAAGGTGAACTGCCTTTTCATACTTGCTTCGTAAAGCCTGAATTCTAGATAAATCTAATCCTCTTTTTACTCTGTCACTGTATCTATGTAGCTAAATATGACTAGAGAAAATCACTAACCTTAATGACAGGTTTTCATTTTTATATTTTATTTTCCTTTCTTAAATGGTTCAGAACAAAAAAAAAAAAGATAAACATTCAGATGTCTTACTCCCACCCTGTCCTTTTTCATTGTCTCCCATCTCCTAACCCCTAATAGATGTGCAATTTTATAGGTTTCTTTGTATGTCTTTGCAATGTTTTTAAGCAAATACAAATATATATGTATGTATTCTTTTCCACACTTTTACACAAAAGGTAACATACTATAATATATACATTGTTCTGTATTTTATTTTTCAATTCTAAGGTTAATGGTTTCCTTATTTTTCTGTAAGTACATGTCATCAATTTTTTTGTATTTATCATAGTTTATTTAACCAAGCATCTATAAATGGACACTTGGTTGTTTCCAATCTTCTGCTATAATAAACAATCGTGCAATGAATACTTGCATAAATATGTCATTTTTTATACATATAGGTATATCCATAGCAGAAAGCCTCAGAAATTAGATTGCTAGGTCAAAATGGAAAATGCACTTGTAATTTTGGTAGATGCTGTCAAATTGCCCTCCACAGCAGCTGGACAATTTTCTCAGACACCAGCAATATATGAGAGTACCTGTTTCTTCACAGTGAAGCCAGTAAAGCATTTTGTCAAAATATTTTGTTTTTAATCAATTTAATAAGGTAAAGAAATTGTCAGTAGAATTTTAATTGGTATTTCTTGAATTTTGAGTTGAGTATTTTTTTTTTAAGGGCCATGTTTTCTTTCTCTGTGAAATTTGTTTATAGACTTTGGCTCTTATCCTACTGGGCTATTGGTCTCTTTTTTAAATTTCTTAGTCTTTATGAGGTGCCTGGGTGGCTCAGTTGGTTAAGCATACTACTTTGGTTCAGATCATGATCTCCAGTTCATGAGTTCGAGCCCCACGTCAGGCTCTGTGCTGACAGCTCAGAGCCTGGAGCCTGCTCTGGATTCTGTGTCTCCCTCACTCTCTGCACTTCCCCTCACTCATGCTCTCTGTCTCTCTCTCAAAAATAAATAAACTTAAAAAAATAATAATAAATGTCTTAGTCTTTATAAATTAGGTAAGTTTAATGCCTATATATAAATTATAAATACTTTCTCCATTTTGTTATTTCTCTTCTAACTTTGCTTACCAGTGTTTCCTGCCATATAGAAATTTTTCATTCTTACGTTGTCAAATTTGTCAGTGCTTTTGTTTTTAGTTCCTGCAATTTTGAGTCCTAGTTAGAAAATCCTTCCTCACATCTAAGTTACAAAGGAATTCTCCCATGTTTTAATCTAGTAATGTTATAACTGCATTTAAAATTTTTTATGCTTTTTTATTTTGAAAAAGAGAGAGACAGAGAGACAAAGTGAGAGTGGGGGAGGGGCAGAGAGAGAGAGAGACACAGAACCCAAAGCAGGCTCCAGGGTCTGAGCTGTCAGCACAGAGCCTGATGTGGAGCTCGAACTCATGAATTGCAAGATCATGACCTGAGCCAAAGTCAGATATTCAATGGACTGAGCCACCCAGGCACCCCTATAATTGCATTTTTAAAACTTAAATCATTCTATTTAATTGGAGTTTATCCTATATGGTACATGAGATATACACTGACTGGGCTTATTCTTTTCCAAAATGGCTACCTAGCTATCTAACACCATTCATCAATAGTCTACCTTTAACCAAGGAGTTTAAAGAATTATACTGTGAAAACTATAAGATGCTGATGAAAGAAAGACACATGAAAGGATACTCCATGCTTAAGGAATGGAAAATTAACATTGTTAAAATGTCCATACTACTCAAAGGAATCTACAGATTCAATGTAATCTCTTTCAAATCCCAATGGCATTTTTCACAGAAATACAACAAACAATCCTAACATTTGTTTGGAATCATCAAAGACCTCAAATAGCCAAAACAATCTTGACAATGAGAAAAGAACACTCTCTTTAGTATATGGTGTTCAGAAAACTGACAGTCACATGCAAAAGAATGAAACTGTACCACTATCTTATACCGTACACAAAAATCAACTCAAAATGGATTAAAGACTTGAATGTAGAACCTGAAACTATAAAATTTCTAGAGGAAATCATAGAGGTAAAGGCACTTGACACTGGTCTTGGTGATGATTTTTTGGACTTGATACCAGAAGAGCAAAGGCAATAAAAGCAAAAATAAACAAATGGGACTACATCAAACTAAAAACCTTCTTTATAACAAAGGAAACCATCAACAAAATCAAAAGGCAACCTACAGGGAGAAAATGTTAGTAAATCTGATAAGGGTTTATTTACGTAAAGGACTCCTACAACTCAATAGCAAAAACAAAACAAAACAAAACAAAAACAGAAAATCTGAAAAGACATTTTTCCAGGGAAGACATAAAAATGGCCAACAGGTACATGAAAAGGTGTCAAAAATCACTGATCATCAGGGAAATGCAAATCAAAACCACAATGAGATATCTCCTTGAGTTTGTTAAAATGGCTATTATCAAAAGACAATACATAATAAGCATTGGCAAGGATGTGGAGAAAAGAGAACTCTTGCACACTGTTGGTGAGAAATGTAAACTGGTGAACATACTATGGAAAACAATATGAAGATTCCTCAAAAAAATTGAAAATAGAACTACTGTATGATCCAGCAATTTCACTTCTGGGTATTTATCTAAAGGAAATGAAAATACCTATTTGAAAAGATACTGGGACTTCCATGTTCACTGCAGCATTATTTATAATGGGCAACACACAGAAACAACCTAAATGCCCACCAATGGATGAATGGATATGGAACATGTGATAGACACATGACTATTATTCAGCCGTTAAACAA